TTATCTTGTATAAGGCCTAGGAAGTGGAAAAACGCAATCCTGATGTATAAAAATACAACTGCGTGAAACACGCAGGCGTATCAAAATCCAACTGCGTGAAACACACAGGTGTATAAAAATATAACTACGTGAAACACAGTAGTATGAAACTTCAACTGCGAGAAACACACAGTAGTATGAAACTTCAACTGCGTGAAATACACAGCAGTATGAAAATTCGGCTGCGTGAAACACACAAACTTCACGCATGCGTGGAGTGTATGGAGTGTACGGGAGTGATTCACGCAATGGTGCGAATAGTCACGGCCTAAAAAGTATTTGATTGAAAAACATTAATAGTTTCTAATTTCACGATAAAAATTATTCTCTTTTTTTTCACTCCGTTGCTATTCCCCTCTCATGAATAAATCCAAATAACATTAATTCAAGTAATATTAATACTAAATATTCATCTTCACGTTGTATACGCAACTAAAATGAGGGAAAAATAATGAACTCCGAAGACTTGACTTGATTTTTCAATGAAGTTTATTAACCCAATATTTCTTGGATATAAAACAACTTGTGATGTCTTAATTTATAATTTAGGAGCATGGAAAAGCACATCCACTCCTAAATCATGAGTAAGTGGTCTGTAATTCTCGTTTCTTCTTCCCGCGTTTGTATTTCAGTGATCAAAAATGATTTTCAATAGTCGTATCTAAGCATTCTTGATTTATCACACAGATTGCACAGCAAATTATTTCCCACTTAAACCTACAACATGCTTCACGGTTTTTCGATTACAATATATTAGATATATAGTTGTCTCTTGCTTACGCGAGGATAAGTACGGACGTGGCAAAGCGTAACTCAGCGCCAGTGTGCTGAAGGTACAGTTATAGCTTCGATGCGGAAGATTTAATTATCATGGAATGTCGAATACAGATTAATATTGAGAGCAATTTCGCTTCTTCATTGAGATACTCATGTTTAATTTAACCACCTAAATTACTGAGTTAGGAAGGTCAAAAATTCCTGATTAATATTCATCCATTCATCAAAACGCTATGCCTAATTCGTATAAAATTGCAAACACCTAGGTATTTTCTAAAAAATGCTTAACTTATGTAAATATTTACACATGATCTAGTCGTTTTATGTTTCCATTAATTTCCAGGCACTGTTACAATCATCGTTTTGAATTTTTATGGTCTTTTATCACCAGAGGTACTGAATTTTTTGTATCATTTGTTATCAATGATTTCGAAAGACAACACGTGTGAAAAAATTTCATAGAAAATTCAATTTGTCAACTTTACAATGATTTTTTCATGTTTCATTTTCATTTCCTTATTTTCATGATTCGATTTTACGGTTGGAATATTTTTGAAGTAATTCCACTTAATTCTGCGCCTAAAAAACTAATAGAATTTTTAACAGAAGTTCAATAGAATTTTCTATCGATTTCACCACGTCTTCCTATGAAATTTTTTCATCAGTGGACAGATTAAGTCGAGAAACGGATGTATCATTTCCGTGGTAATCAGTGACGTGCAGATAGGCTCCTACAATTCCTCAAGTCTCACTTATATTATATGTACAACGATGCAGCTCGAGTTGAGAGAATACGATAACTCAAACTGAATAAAGATAAGAGTCTAATTTAGGTTTGGCATTTGGGGGTGATGTGAATGGAGAGAACCAAGCCAGTGAGAATCTACCGAAGACAGCTTGAATTGATTTCCATCTGCTATTGCGCACCCATCTGGCCTCCTCCTTCTTCAACTGCTCTATCCCCTGTTAACACGATCGTACAATTCCATTAGTATTTAATGGCTGTAATGGGATTGTGTTATCGATCCCAGGCATTACCGTTTCATCGTTCCATATCGCTTGCAATTGGGTGCCCAACATGACAGCTGTGAAAATTGCGAAGAGCAGGGCCTCGAAAGTGAGAAACAGCAGTAGTACGACTGTTGCTGGCGGACTGAATGTTGAACATTCACGCCACTCTTGTCTCACACACGTGGTGAATTGTTGAATACAGAGAAATAATGATTGCAACGATATTCCGGCGATATAAAACTGTAATTAGGAGAATTAGAATGCATTTAGTGAGGAAGGAACTTCCTAATGTTTAATTACAAATTTCGAGGGGCTTTCAACGAAAAAAATGCACTGTTGACAATTTTCTACTGAAATTTCCTATAAGGGTGTTGGAAATTTCTGACAAGCAATATGTTCATTAAAATTTTAAGGAAGTTGTGTCATTGAAAATTTACTATTTCAGTTTAATTATTCTGAAAAAATTAATGAAAAATCTGTAAAATTCAGAGAAATCTCAAATTTAAGGGGAGATTTCTCTGAATTTTCAGGGGATTTCTTTAAAAATCCCTACAATTCCAAGAATTTTGAAGAAATTACCTGGACACTCAAGGGAATTTGTCAGTGAGTATTCATTTTAATTTGAAAATTCCCGTAAATTGTAGAATTTCCATCTTAAAATTCTTAAAACTTAAAATTCCATTGGCTTTTTCCCCTTAAATAGAATTCAATATTTTTTTCGGAAAATTCAGCGAAATTTTCTTAACAGTGTGGTCAAACTCCTTAAAATTCCTCAGACAACAACAAATTTGGTGGAACTCCAAGCAATTTATAGTGTTTAATTCACAAAGAAAGTACTTACTGTAAAAAGTACAAAATATTTTTGATTATTCTCCCCAACGCAGTTGTTCACCCAAGGGCAATGATGATCCATTTTCCTAATGCATCTGCAACCAAAGAGATCCCCCTCAACCAACGCTCCCAACTAATCCCACAATAATAACGTTAACTTTCTCACCTCTGACAAACCGAGCAGTGATGTGCCCTGTCAGGTTTAATAGAGCAACACCTCTGACACTTGAATATCACCTGGCCCTCTCTAAACCCCATTTGTTGAATCATTTCTTTGGTTGCATTACCTTTTGGCACAGCTCCCTAAAAGCCCATGAAATCGTGAATGAAATATCCAACTAGAGGCAATCCCCCATCAATTGAAGTGATTCTACCGACTTACTGGATCAGTGAACATTGTTCTGAGATGCGAGGCGAAAGCTAAAAACGCCATAGTTTGAAAAATAGCCATATTTACACTGGAATAGAACGTGTGAATAGTAGGAATGAGAATGACAGCCATCACAACGAATTCAGCATAAATTATGAGAAGCCATGTTAGAATGGCACAGATTATTCCGCATATATCCTGCAAATGGTGAACGAGGTAAAACATTTTTTTTCATCACAATGCCAGAGCCTCAAATTTCTATTCACCTTGATACACCAGAATTTTCCCCCACAGCATCTATTATGAATATCCCTCTCTCTCTGAAAGGGCATATACTCATAATCCATAGCTCCGATTTTATTCTCACTCTCATAAATCTGAATAATTCATTTTCACAACGATAACGTCTCATTAACAGTTAAACCATCAATTTGTTCAATTGCAATCATTTTCTGGAAATAAAATCGAAATGTAATCAGTATACCTTTCGCTGTGTCGTGCCCATCGATCAAAAGATAATCTCATAAATTCAAGTGGTCAAATGAGATAAAACAGGAGATGTACAAGTTCACTAGTCATGGATTCCAATAATCGAAATCATAACTACAATTATGCAATTCATACGGCGTGAATTCTTGTGGAGAGGGTACGTGCATGAATAAAATTCATTTAATAATATAACCTGAATATTTTAAAGGTAAACTCACAGTGCGGTGATCTGGAAATCATGCTCATTCGTAATGAGATTAAACTCATAGCACCCTCAATCGACATATTGAATTAACGGTGAATGGGGTCAATAATCGGGAGTACGTGATAAAAATGTAATTACTCCTGACAACTGTCACACACGGATACTCTTTTTGACGCCGATGAGATAGTGTCATGAACTAATAGTCGGTTGATCATTTCACGGTGGAGAGAAATGTGCGACAGCGGCATTGACACGATTTATTGGCTGAGACAGGCGCTGATTCCGTTTCGGCGACACTTGCCACTTCTCCCTTCGAATTGTTTATTCATTTTATTAATTGAGGGATCAATCAAGAATGAGGCGCTTTTATTTTGTTTTTTAATTATTGTTAATTAGTTTTCTGGGTTTTGGTCTTATTCGGGGGTGGAAACACTCTTAATTGTTGATTATTCGGGCAGTTGCTCGATCAGTGCTGCAAGGATTGAAGTCCTCTTTATCGACCGGGCATTATAACCGAGAGGTTAGTGGAGGCTACAGTGGAGGTGAAGAGAATCGAGTGGTTCTCTGTTGTTTTTCCAGAAATTGAGAATTTTTTAAACGAAAAATCGATAATTGTTGGGGAGTAACTAGTCTAATTGAAAGGGCTGCAGCATGTCACTTGTGAGGAGAGGCCAGGTATGCAGACAACGTGTATTTACTTTGGAAAAGTTATTCATAGGCCTCTAACCTCTAAATATTTCCAATACCTACTCCTGAACACTCCGTACTCTTGTAATATTCCACAAGGAATGGTTTACTAAAGCATGAATAATTCCAATGTTTTGTTTCTGGAATAACTTGATTTTTTTTTAATGATTTAATTTTGAACTCAAATTGGGCTCAATATTTAAAACTATCATGTAACTATCAGCTAATTTTTCTATAATTCTCAACAATTATCTCAATGAGAATCTCCCACTGTTGAAAATGTTTATCAAATCACAGTTCCAGTGAAATTTCAAGAAATTTTGTAATTAAAAAGTCGCGATTTGATGGGAAAATTGATGGAAGCTGTAAATTTTAGTGTAATTATTCCATGAAAATGTCTACAAGCTAGAAAAATTCACATAAATATACTCTTGAATTCTCAATTAATTAAAAATTCGAGTTAGTTAAGGAATTCATATTTTTCTGTTGCACAAAAAGCTAGAATTACCCCTAAATTGTCCCTGACCTTTAAATGTTTCCTAACAGTCTCATAACGAATGTCTTCTTATTTTCTTATTTGCAGCACTGGGCGACATTCGCTCGGATCTGGCACATATACGACGCGAAATGGCAGGACCCGTACAAAAGTGCTGTCCTGTTAACGAAATACCTCAAGGGTCTCCACAAACCGATGTACCACCCCATGGGCTACTGTGGAGATCACGTAGTCGTGATAAACAGCAAGGACATTGCGTTGAGAGGGGACGAGTGGGTCAAGAGAGTTTACTTCCACCACAACACCTACCACAGCGGTGACACATGGACCCTAGCCTGGGAACTCCACAAGAAGAACAAAACCATGATCATGCAGAAGGCTGTTTACCACGCGATGAGGGGCAACCTCCAGCGACGACACACCATGCAACTCCTGCACATCTACCCGGACGAGAATGTCCCTGAGGAGATCCTCCAGAATGTCAGCAGTCAGATCAAACAACTGAGACCCCAGCCAGTCAGCCTCGATCACATCCCTGCTGAGGAGGTGGAGAATTTCCCACGTGTCATGAAATACCCCACGAATTACATACTTCGCTAGAGAAAACGCCAATTCACTGTATCCTACATTTATTTCTATCTATAATAAAGAATAGACTCGAGTTAACATTCGACTTTGTACACTGATAATTATGAACACGAAATGCATTACACGCTCATGAAGTTCATCTTATGAATTTCAATTGCATGCACGAGTGAGAGAAAAAGAGGTTTCATTTTCATTGAGGATTTGTTAAATTTTTTTCCGTCGCTTTTGTAACTTTTTCTGAGTTTATTCAATCACAAATACTGCATTCTTCGCTGAGGTTTTTTCTCCTGTCGTTTTTTGGACGGTGGGGAGTGCTTTTCGTTTACGAAACTTGTTTGTAGTAGTGGGATTTGTTGAGGGCTACCAGATGCCCATTGATGATCTCTTGGGGGCCTCTGTAGTAGCGCCAGATGAAGCTGCTGCCGCGTTTCAGATCGTTTATCGAGGATAAGTGTCTCCAGCAGTCCACCCAGTTGGCGTAGATTGGCATTCGTGGGGGAACTCCAGCTGCCAATCTGTTAGTGATTATATAATTCAGATTAATTGGACTCTTCATGAATATCAGCATCATCAAGTTCAAGTTCAAGTTAAATTCTGCAAAAAAAGTGAGCTTACTAATTTTGCTGAAAATATTTAACAAGACATCACACTTAAACATGAATTTTTTAAATCTGTCCTATAGACTGAAAATGGATAATTAAATTTAGACTTTCAAAATTCAAATAATAAAATTATTGCAAAGTCAAATTTTGTACTAAAAATATTGAAAAGCATTTTCCCCAAAAAAATCGTTCAAGTCCTTGGATATCCTCAAATATATACAATTATTAAATCAATTAAATCAATAATTCCCCTCCACTTACCCGCAATCATTGACAGCCATACAGTGGTAGACCACCAAAAATGGATAGGTGACAGTCGTTGCAAGGAACTACAAAAAACCAGACAAATAAAAGCCCTGAATTTTCTCCAACACTAAAACGTCGTCAATCGAAGAAGGAAAATTATCTCACTGTCATAGTTGCAGAGGTGCATCCCCTGAGGTCCTTGTCCCGGATTAAATATTTGTTGATAAAGTACGTCGACGAGCTGACGAGCACCAGAGTAGCAACATTGGCTATTAATCTCGGCACTAATCCTGCATAATAACCCAGTAGGCCATTCTCATGGTAGATTTCTCTGATCGATCCGAAAATCCCACTGAAATTGAATAGAAAGTTGTCGTTACGTGAGTAATGCTACGAAGATCTGAAAAAATACTTCACAAAATCCAGAATTTTTCACTGATTCGGTACTTGTATTTTGTTTCACCCCCGACGAATTGTGCCATTGTCCTCAGAGTGATGACATCCAATGGGTGACTTGCGACTATTCCTACGATCCTACAAACAATGTCTTTGGCCAATTCTTTAATATAGGCCTCCTTCCTGCAACGATAATTCTGAATTGAAGAAATTATTCCCAGAATTAAATACAAAATGCACAAAACTCCATAAATATTTATTATATATCTGTAACTTTATAAACTGCAATCAATTTTTATGAATTGGAAAAAGGTATAGCCAAATTTATAATATTAAATTATGACCAAATTGTCCACTTAAAAATGAAATAACCAATTTGAAAACTCTTCATCAATCAGTAATCTCAGACAAACTCATCATTATACATTTATTTTCAATTTAATAACTGAAATTATTGTAATATTACAAAAATTAATGATTAATGTAGATCCCAAATGGAAAATTAAATAATATGCAGTTGAATATTGGATCATCTCCTGTTGTAAAAACGAATAAACAATGAACAAAAATGAAAACTAAGACTACAATTATACTTAGCTTTCAGCTGAGTTTTCGAGAAATATCTTCGAACCTAAGGAAGATAGCGAAATATTCATGAAGACCTTTTTTGTAGCTCTCAATTTGCCCCATAAAAAAGGTCATGATAAAAATTTTGCTACCTGCCTTAGATTCCGAGATATTCATTGAAAATTGACGAATATATTCACTATCTAGCGGAATTCACTACCTCTCATCATCAGGTAAATCATCGATATCCTCTTCTTTCCTCGTCTCATCCTCTGGGAAATACTTGAGAAAATAATTGGATTCCGAGACTTTTTCAATAGCAACAGCACTGACGGTATAGGCACACAATTTTGGAACAAATCCTCGATAGCATCCACTGAATCCATCCACATTCTTGATATATCTTACTAGGAGATGAATGAAAATCATTGAATCAAACAATTTAAATAAATTATCAGCTGGGTCTCACCATACTGAAAAATATTCGGCAGAACCAGTGCCGGTTTCCCCAGGAGAGTCCTGGCTTCTCTGGGAGCGCTGGGCTCATGTCCTATCTAAAGTAAAAAAAATAAAAAAAGGTTGTAACAAAATACATGATAATTTCCGTGAAATTATCTTAAACACGTGTATTCACCTGCATCAACACTTTGGCATATTCAATTGGATGTGAAATGGTATTAACCAATGTCCGAATGGCAATATAAGACCACAGTCTCTCGTCCTTCTCCCGACCCATCGTCGACATGGACATTTTTACAACTTTCTTACAGTCCTACAGCCCTCTACTTCACTATTCAACCTCCACTTTTTATTTATCTCACACTCCTTGAGTGAGATATTTTTTCAGGTTCAAAGATTGGACCGATACTCCAATCACTATCAAACTTCCACCACTCTTCATGGACTGGCTCGTAATTCTGTAATTCTCTTGGTCACAGTTACGGCCTCTTACGTCAGCTCGCGGTGGCCGGTAAGTTCAAGGGCAATTCTGTTGTTAAGACAGATTTCCTCCCGACAATTCGAATAATTTTTATATTTGAAAAATCACTTCGCTCCGAACGTGAATGAATAATAAACTCCATTTGGATTCGGAAAAGTCCTTCCAAAATATAAATATATTCAGCCCCCTCCATTCTTCTAAACCCCAATAAAATAATCCCCAAATGGTTGAGAAATTACATTAAAACATTTAGAATATGTGTCGCCCGTTTCCCGATTAAATTTATTTATATTATTTTAATTTATTTATATTATTTCTCTCAAAGCTTCAAGTGAAAATCTTTAACGGAATGTCAGACCTAAGACAATTTAATGATTTTACTAACATGGGAAATGTAAACATTAATTATTTAAATGTTTCCTAAAATAGAGAATCCAATGTAGACTTTCAATAATTCAAATAATGAAACCATTGCATACTGCTCGGCCTTTAGAACAAACCTTTCAGAATGTGTGTCATCCATTCCTCAATTAACACTCTGGAAAATTGAAAGAAATTATTAATTAAAGCTTCGGTTTGGTTTACATCAAGCCCATCATAATAACGACCATTTGAATAACTTCTCTATAAGTTTAAGGATAATGTTGTTGTTTCTGTTGCGCACAAAAATATCTTCCCTAATATTTTCTCCGGTATAAAAAAATATTTTTACACCGAATGTGAATGAATAAAACACTTCATTCGATTCGAAAAACTCCTCCCAAAATAATATGAATATCTCCCCCTAGCCCCTCAATGAAATTATCTCCAAATGATAGAAAATACATTAAAAAAAATAAATTCCCAAAATGAGTCCCCCAATCCCCCAATAAACCCCCTACAAGTAAAACTAAATAATTAATCAATCCTTGGGTTCAGTTTCCATCCAGCCCCTCGCAATCACGTCAATTTCAAAAGTTCCTCTGTAATTTCAACGATAATTCCGTCAATAAAAATTTCTTCTCCAAAACTTCAATAATCTCCCTACAAACCGCTCTCATCCCGAATAAGAATAAACATATTTAAAAAATCATAACAAAATACAAACAAATCCCGAAACACGAATATCTCCCTCTGACCCCCAAAACCACCCCCAAATGATCGAAAATTCATAGAAAAATACATAAATAAACCCCCAAAATGTGTCTCTCAATCCCCAATAATCCCCCCCCCCCGAAGATTAATTAATCCTTGGGTTCAGTTTCCATCGAAGCCGCACGCAATCACGACAATTTGAAAAGCGTCCCGGTGCCGTCCCAACGGATTGGTCCACGGCCGGCGCCAGGACCAATAGTACCTCTGGATTCCCCTCACACTCAGTCCTCCCTCAACCCAAATGGATGAAGAATCCTGCTCCCCGGTGTTACCAGTGGTGTGTCCCCGTCGATTGAATTAACGTTGAAAAAACAACGCGTTCGTGTATCGTCGCGCATTGTGTGGCCCCGAGTCCCCCCAGAAGTGTCAACATCATCGAAACGACTCCCCAAGACATCCTCAAACCCCTCAAACTCTAAGTAAATCAATTGACTCCAAAAAAATCAGTGCACGAGTGAAGTACTGCGGGGTAGACCGATCGAAACGCATATTAAACGCAAAGAGGGGGAATAAAAACGGGTATCACACACATAACGGGCTGCCTCTGGCGACGAAACACCAGAGGGAGAGGGAAAGAAAGGCACAGTTGCTGTAATGGCCGCCGTGTCATGAAATGAAGGTACCCAGCCAGTGTTGCGGTCCCATAATGGAGGATAACTCCAGTTCAGTATCGCAAAATCATAACGGGCCATTGTCGTCCGGTGCTAATGTATCAATTGGCAACGATAAACATCAAAATAGTGATAATGCTAGTGGTAATGGTGCCAAAGATCAGAAACCACAATACTCGATGCCTGGTATTCTTCACTTTATTCAACACGAGTGGGCCCGCTTTGAGCTTGACAGATCACAGTGGGAGCTCGACAGAGCTGAGTTCCAGGTATTTAATCACGTTCTGATCGGACAATTCCACCGGACTATTTTATTATCGATGATAAATGGGGGGATTGACGTTTTGGAGCGGAAGGGAGGCTCGGGGTATTGTCAATTTGTCGTGGGAATTTTTGACGTTAGACCATTGATACTGCGATTCTACCGGGTGGCAGTTGTTTGTCAGTTGGAACTCATCAGCTTCAGCAGATTCTTTCAATTTTTTGGTAATCCTCGGGGTTTAAGGAATGCTCGGATTTGTTGCTTTCAGTCTTGGGGAGTTTATGGTTCATTTAGAGATTTCAGTACTCCATTTGATAATTATCATGTTGTTCGTCATTAGTAGTAAAAATATAAATTATGGAAAAATTGAATTGTTCAAAAATAAGATAATTTTTTTGGTTCAGGGTTTTCGTTTCTTCATTTGATAATTGATCACGTGATTTTTTTACGTTAGGCGATTGATACTGGGAATTCTCTTCCAGGTGTCAATTTTTTAACCCTTGGAATCCATCACCTTTTGCATAATTATTAATTTTTTCAATTAACTCTCCTAGTTTTGATAAATGCTCTTATTTGGAACGTTTAATTCTCGAGGAGTTTGTGATTACTGTTATGATAATTTAATGTGAAATGTTAGTGTGCGGGATACCCGTAAATCTGGAAATAAAAAAAATGTTGAGTTGATAAGATCTGTGCACACTCGAGTGAAACTGATCCTTTCAACGTGGTATTATTTTCCACATTGTTAAGATGTATCATTAGAACAATATAGATCTGGTAATGGGGGAGATTAGATAGGAACTGTATTATTTATTTATATCTGCGATTTTCTAAGGAGTAATTGAGAATAAGGGGGGAGGGGAGTCTCACCAGAGCGTCACGATAATTGTTTTTTTTCTTTGAATTATTATGGGCTAGAGTAGCTTTCCTCCAGGGTGAAAGAAAGGCTCAAGAGAATTTAAAGAATGATCTAGTGGGGCGATTTAAAATATCCGGAAATAAAACTCTTAATTTTTCATTTTTGTACTTTGTCTAATCAAGAGCTTTCATTTCTCCATTTGTTAATTTATTATTATCGTTCATAATCGTTGTTAAAAATCCACAGAATAAAATATCCTCAATTCTGCATTTGATAATCATTACTGTTAAGGTATAAAGAATAGAAAAATTATTTTTCCATTTCTTTGAATTATTATAGGCTAGAATAGCTTTCCTCCAGGGTGAAAGGAAGGCTCAGGAAAATCTAAAGAATGATCTAGTGAGACGAATTAAAATGCTTGAGTACGCTCTCAAGCAGGAGAGGTAAGATTTATTAATGGAGTTGTCGGTGGTGGGTTTTTTCCAGTTCTCTAAATTCGTTTTTTGTGATAGGGCCAAGTATCACATACTCAAGTATGGAACAGACTTGGTAATACAGGATGACGGAAAACCACCGCTTTACGAGGAGTCTAGTACTGGCGATAATTCGGAGGGTGGTGGTGGAGATGGGGAAGCGCCATTCTCCTCTGTTAGTAATATCACGTGGAGCCAGGGGCGACGGTTATTAAGAGAGTAAGATTGTGGTTTAAAATGTTTAGTTAACTCGACAGTGCTTGGGTAATTGTATTTGACGGATTTACAAGTACTATCGGGGAGGTAAATGTCAGGCGAGTCAACCGCAAAGGGTCATATCGAAGAAATCAGTTGTGAATATCGAGGGAAATAGAGTGACATTTCTTGTTTACTAAGAATATCCAAGGACTTTGCACATTTTTCTTTTCGTTGATAAATTCTTCAACATTTGGAGTTATTTGAACTGAATTTAATTTTTTATTTTCAACTAGCAGAAAACGCTTTGAAGAACTGCAATTTTTGGTGATTACATTGAACAGCCTATTTTCCTCCTGAAAATTGAGAGAATTTTAATTATTGATTTATAGGAAGAACATGTTTGAAGAAAAATTTGTTCTTTTATGTAATTTAAATGACACTAATTGTCCATGACATTTTTTAAACTTCTCTCGTGCAATTTAATTCATACAATTCATGATTGAAAATCTCCAAATCCATGCTGTGATTTTTAAGAACCTGTAGAAGATATTTAGCCATTTTTTAATGAATTCGACATGTCACAACTTTTCAAATATTTAATCATCTTGATAATGAGCGAGATTAGAAAACCAATGTCAAGTCGAAGGCATTTCGGTTCGCAGTATATTCAATAAAAAATCCTGATATTTCCTCATACATAAGCAAACGGAAAATGTCAATCTCAACATGAAGTAAATGAAGAAATTTTCCCAAGCACTGACGAGTTTAAGAAGAAAGCCATGACCTTAATGATTTAATTATGTTCCCAGCTATTTGCAAGAAATTGGTTATACCGACACAATAATTGACGTGAGATCAAACCGAGTGAGATCATTACTTGGATTAAACAACAATACAGACTCCGACGATATGAATACACCAGCATTGAATGGTAACGAACCATCGAAAAAGCGTGTTATGCGCCGCCCGAGGTCAGAGAGAGCAAAAAAGGTGTATCTTCGTAGTCCAGTGAGTGTACTGGTCCAGCGACTCAACTCCAATCATTGACTCGAAGTACTGAATCTCCGAATGAACTAAAAACAGTGGAATCCTCTGTCAAGCGACAACGACTGTGACTCTTTCCTCATTTTAAAATGGTTCACCAGAGTCAATGACTGGATGTAATGAGTCGTAAACTGGTACGCCTATTTTGGCGATATTTACTTTTTCATTTCTATTTTCACCTTTCTCTTTTTTTTTCTCCCTCCCTATTTACTGCAAACGGTAATTCATTCAATGAACGTTATCTTCTGCATCCCTACTAGTCCCACATTTCTAAGGAAGTAGGTATAGTATGAAGAGTTACGAAACTAAAATGTCAGTGTCAATTTTTTCATTTAATGTGTGTTTTTTGCTGTTAAAAAGGACAAATTTTATAGTCTATAATCAGTGCACTTG